AAGGACCAGGTTAAATGCCTTCTCAAAGTCCACAAAACAAATAGCGGTAGACTGGATGGGCAAACTCACACACACCTCAAATATCCTTGAGAGGATAAAAAGCTGGTCCAGTGTTCAAAAATGGCAACCTTTAAACTACACTGACATGTGTTTCACCATTGTATACTACAGTATTAAACAGATATCAGCGTTTCCCTCCAAATTACCTGGGAGCCCATTTGTTTATCATCAGGTTTGCTCAGGAGAATCCCAGTCTGTGGAGGGACACATACAAGACACAGTTTCTTTAATTTTAAAGAAAATGCGAGGAGGTCAGAGAAACAGAGCTAGGATAGCTAGGATTTACTAATAACTTTTCCTCAGACTTTATTCAGGACTACTCTAGCGTAGCCTGATAGGTCATCAAGAGTTAGACAAAGCTGCATCACCATACCAAACAGCCGAGCGATGACCGGATAAAACTGAATTTAAACGCATTTACCTGCATCATGTAGCCCTTCAGTCTGTCAATCAACTCCTCTCTGGGACCTAAAGAGAGAAAAAATGAATCGGAAACGGCTGTTAAACAAGGTAGATATGAATCTAGGCTTGTAAAATGTACACCAAACATGTACCAGAACAACTCGGAGCGCATTTCAAAGTTGTGCAAAACTAGGCTAACACTGGCCGCTTCGTATTAAAGTTAGCAAAGCAGCTAAACCGCTGCACTAGTTACAGAACTCATATTAAGGAAAATAGCTAACCAAATCGTCATAACTTTATCCAACTTGCATCACAGGAATTAAAATGTCACGTACTCGATTAGTTAGTGCGTGAAATTAACTCAACAGAGTGTAAACATAACGCAGGCCTAGCTTAAACTCGTTGCAACGGAAGCATTGCGTTTTAACGCTACTAGCTAAAGTTAGCAACTGGCTAGCTGCCGATAGCCAAATACTGTCTATGTTAGTGCTCTACGCGGGTGTTCTTCTTACCCATGTTGGGTACTCCCAGCTCTGCCAGCTTGCCCTGAAGATCCGGGATGCTCCATGTATTCAGAGCTGCAATAGCACTCCCCAAATCGGACGGGAGAGAGTCAGTGCCCGGCGGTCCGTCGGATGCCATGTTGAGGTTAGCTCAATGGAACAACGGCGGCAGCGAAGAACACGCGAGAGCTTGGGAAAGACGCAATGCACCACGGGACGTGAAGTATGACAAGAGATTTTTTATTTTAATTCAATGCACAGTTACCCCAATATTCAGTCAGAACACGTGCTTTCAAAATATAAATCCCTAATAAGAGAAAACATAAAGAGGGGCAAAAATCATATTCTTCAACTGTAGTCAATACATTTGTGTGATCTCATAATCCGTCATCATTTCAGACAATGCACACATAGCCTAGTCACCCTCTGCTTGAACTTTGGCCATCAGGTAAAAAGATACAGACTAATACAATCCCACACAAACAGACGCTAATCTGTGGCCCCAATCCCCCCCATAGACTGTGATCATTTACACATTTCTGTGCGATCATTACACCCTAAAATTCTGTTTATTATCTACATATTAATTATTATTATTATTATTATTATTATTATTATTATTATTATTATTATTATTATTATTTATTATTTTTTTATTTATTTTTACATTTTTTACTATTTGTTCTTTCTGTCTATTTCATAGAAATAACACTCATGGACATTACACCTTATTTATAAATCGTATTTCTGTTTATACTTCAATG